CATTTCTTAATGCATTCCCCTCATGCATGGCTTTTTCAGCTTTCATGGTCTAGAGGCACGCATGCATGTTTTTTATTGAGAAATATTAATTGAATGGCATGGTGATTCATGGTCATCTTAATTATATTTTTTTTTTCTATTGGATGTTATTGTAACTTGATCATTTTCATGAGAAAGTAGGGCTTAAATATCCTTGCTTACAAGGTCCCCTTGGTAAAGTGATTTTCCCAAATAAATATTTTTTTAATGAACTTTTATGTTCAGGAAAATTTACAAGAAAATAATAAGATGAGAAGGGGAGATGTGACATGGCAGTATGGTACTAAAGTGAATGACAAAGGAAGAATTCGATGTAATTTTTATAACAAGGAAATGGGTGGTGGTATTTATCGCCTAAAAGAACATCTTGCTTTGGTAAAGGGTAATGTTACCGGTTGTAAAGAAGTGCCGCCAGAAGTAAAACAACAAATGATAAAAATAATTACAGAAGGAAAATAAAAAAAAGTGCAGAGAGAAAGGGATGCAAAGGAGATAGGGAGGGAGTACGAAAGTTCAATAGATGAGGAAGATGACTGAGAGGCAAAATTTGAGGCGTAAATGGAACGAGCTAGGATTGCCAGTATTCAAGAGCTTAATTACAGACAAATTGAAATTCAAGAGATGTGTGGGAGAAGGGATGGTGCATCCAGTAGCCGTCAACCTCAAGAACATGTAGTACCAGGTAGGGAAGGATGTGGGCCTTCATTGCTTAGATCCACATCTTGTAAATTGAGACGTAGTTTCTCTAGTCGCCTATCCTCTTATAGTCGGCCATCAACTACTCAACGACATGAACCCATAGAAGTGTCATCAATGACCCGCGAACCCTCTGGACTTGATCCCCACAAGTCACAATACCATAAAAAAAAATTAAAATTTCTGTCAGCAGACGTATTAATAGAAAAAGCGAGAAAGATGATTAGCATGTTCTGGTATGCTAATGCACTGCCATTTAATTCTGCAAGCTTAGACTTCTACCCAATCGATATTGGTAAACAAGGCAGAATTGAGGTCAATGATACGCTCTAATGAATGACAGACTGATATGGCAGCAATGAGTCAACTTGAAAGGCAAGTTGAAACCACCCTTCTCGATTGGAGGTTCTGGGCTCGATGTAACCATGTTGTTTCTATAACTGAACCTTTAGTATGGGTGTTGAGGTTAAGTGACTCTGAGTATAAACCTACAATGGGGTTTCTGTTCGATGCAATGAGACGTGCAAGGGAAGCTATATTTAAGAATAACATATGAAATGAAGAGATATTGGAGATTGTTGATCGTAGGTGGAGAGACCAACTGCACCAGGATATCCATTCAACATGCAATTTATGATTCATTGACGCAATTCATGACTCTTTCTCAACTTCAACAAAAGTTACCGTAATTAATAATATAACAAACCATGTGCATGGTTCTTTCTTAATCCACAAAATTTGTACTCCAATGCTACTTTAGATGATGCAGATATCATGGAGGGGGTTAGAAACTGCATCTATACGCTTGAACCTGATCTTGAAACTCAGATGGAGTGTATGCAACAGGTAAACCTTAATCAAAACGTGTATGTAATAAAATTTCAATTTACAATAATGAATTGCATTTCTATGTAGTACTAATTTCTTGTATATGCATCTTGTTATTTCTAGCTTATCATCTACATAGAAAAAAATGGGGAATTTGCATACAACAATGCCAAAAAGCAGCTGCAAAATTGCACCCAGGTTAGTTTTAAGTTAAAACTTGTAATAGTTTAGTACAATACTATTTGTGGTTTATTTTAAATCAATTTATTTTCTATTGTTAAGTATTTCTATGTTTGTCTGTGTCAACACAATGGTGGACGATACACAGAATTTGAACAAAGCAATTGCAAAAGATTGCCATTAGAATTTTGAGTCAAACCTATGCTCCCTCGAGCTGTGACAGAAACTGGAGTACATTTCAGTGGATTTGCACCCCAAGGCGGAATAGGTTAAAGACACAGACGTTGCACAACTTGATGTACGTTCATTATAATTTGAAATTGAGAGAGAAACATATAAGGAGGACCCCCACAGACTACACTCCGATCAACCTTGATTACATCTTTTGGAGGGACCTCGCCGATGAGTGAGTGTCACTAAGGACCTCAATACTAGACCAAGATTTTCTTAGTGGGGCAGTTGCCGATATAATGTGAATGTTGCAGCATCCAATGAAGGAGACATGACAATGGATAACGATTATACACAGGATGAAGATGAAGCACAGGATGATGAAACAGATGGGACAATGAAAAACAATTGACAAGAACCGGTCATTCAAGAATGTGAAGGGGCGCAACATGATGTGGTGCTTGATGAATAGGAAGATTTAATAAGATTGGCTCGGAAGGAAGTCCAGGCACTGAGGCATAGGAGTTACTCAACAAGGGAGAGACGAAGCCGTAGCCGTCACCGTAACCTGGTTATTCATGATGATGAGAATATTGAAGATGTTGAGGGCCATAACACAGAACAGGGTGCGGGTAACATAGAATATGGTGGGGGTAACACAGAACAGGGTGGGGGAGAGCATAAAGGCTGGATCAGTCTAGGAGACTTTGGCCAAGGGCGTACCACAAGAAATATTCCTGACTGGCGAGGGGGCACAACTGCTGCATTACAGACTCCACCAAGCCTTACTCAGATTTTTCGCCCCGTAAATCCTGATAGTGAAACACAATAACATCATGATCCCCCTCTCCACTCTCATTACTACTAGCATTGTTAGTTGGACTTTGTAACTTCATTAATTGAACTAAGGTCAAATTCTAAATTGTCTTGCATATCTTCAGAGTATTCAAATATTAATTTATAAAAATAGTTGTTTCAATTTTTTTGCAAGATAAATGTATGTAATAAAATAGTATACACTTAATCTAAGTTTTTCTATTTTTGTTTCAATTTTTTTGGATGTTTTATACCTTTTTTTTAAAAAAAAAGAACTACTTGACAGATTAAAAACGGTTAACTGTCCCTGTTAGTCCGGTTTCGGTTCAAACCACTCCCAGCCCAAAACCGGTTAACCGTTCCGGTTTGATTTTGCTAACATTGGTAGAAGCACATTGGTTTTCCATTGTAAGCATATATCTAACACGCTTATCTTATCGTGTTAACCACTAGAATGAGACTGGATGCGGCGATCTAGAGTGGTGTGATGAAATTCTAGATAAAAATAGGAAGCCTATGGTTAAAAGGTTCATGTCTCAAAGGCCAAATGCTTGTGTAGCTAATGGAGTAGATGCATCTCTGTCTGAGAAAGACAAGCGCAAATCTAATGTTGTGGTCACTGAGAAAGTAGGCATTCAAAAAATTTGTCTCATATGTGTAATTTTATTTATGACTTTGATGTTTGTCCTCTTTTTTTTTGTGAAATGAATGGATATATGTTTTATGGTATCTATATACTTATAATTGTATGCACTTATTGATCTCTATCTTCTATGGAATAACAATTTTCAATTTAGTATATTTGTACATTAATTTTTTGGTAGTTTTGTGGTTTAAACGGTGAACACTTTACTTGCTTATACTACATAGTGATTGATTTGGTATACCTTTGACTTTTATAGTAGGTGTTGGAGCAAGATTCTCATACTAAGTATTGTATCGATGCTTCAACTTTCTGTATTGTTTAAAGCTTGTTTATCTTCAACTGAGTTTACTAGAGTTTGTAGTCATGGTTATGTTTTTGAAGAGCAGTCGTTATTTCTATTGTAATAGTATAAGCTCAAGTCCTTTATTATCGAAAAAGTTCCTTGTAGAAAGAGCGAGAGAGGAGAAAGGCCCAGAACATCATACATAGCACTCTCTATTTTGTACTCTATTTTGCATACTCATCTCTCTCTTTCTCTCTGCACCATCATATAAGACCCTACATCTAGGGTATACCATCATGATAATCCCCTCATTTTCCAAACTTTGGTTTCTTGCTCAATTTTTTTTAAATAATGTTTCTCTCTTTCTCCTGATTAACTAAAACCACAATTGAGAGATCCTTGATCACGACGGGAGGAGAGAGGACCCAAAACATCATACATAGCTACTCACAAAAAGAGTTCTTATTCTTCTTTTTGTTTCTTTGTTCACTCTCCCTGTCTCTCTCTCTCTTAATATCTCATCTAATCTCCTAAGATTTGTAGTATTATATTTTGTTGTCGTTGAGCTGTTTCTTTTCTTGTAATTTGAAGCCACAAGAGCTTGGAGGTCCTCTTGTACGTGACACAGATAACACATAGTTATCCCCTTGTGCATCTACTTGTAACGAAAGAGAGAGAGAGAGAGAGAGAGAGAGAGAGAGAGGAGGTAG